CTATCCACTTAGAGAGGACCCACCAAATGGCGTTTCTAGCGACGGGAAAACCTGGAAAACGCTCAACCGAATTAAAGCTGGTGTGGCCCCAGTAAAATCCAATTTGATCAAATGGGGTTTGCTGGACAGAAATGACGACAAATGCGACTGCGGTGCCTTTCAGGACATGGAACATCTTCTTCAATGTCCTGCGTGCCCCCACAGGTGTACCCTCGATGACCTATGGCTGGCTAAACGGGAAGCATTGGACGTAGCCCATTACTGGGATAATAAACTAGTATAATCCGGACACGAAAAAGTAAACTAAGTTTCCGGGAACAAAAATTTTTAAAAATTTGGAATTTTTTTCAGCTTTTAGTTAAAAAACATAATTTCTTAACAATATGGCAACATAGGTAGTAGATTAATTTTACAAGAAAGAAAATCCAGAAAAGATCCAGTGATTTTTGTTTTGGAAATGGTTAAAGTAAAATAACTCGGTTATTTTGGACTTATTTGAAAAACAGCAAAGAGAAAATATGTTTCTTTTATCGGGATCTACCAGCTCTGAAAATATTTGCACTTATTTAAGACTCTCAACTCACAATAAGTAATAATTAATATGGTATGGCCACGTACAAAGAATGTCAGAGAAGAGGCTCCCAAAACAGATCTTTTGTTCTTTTTCCTTTGTTACTTCCTTTTTTCCTTTGATCCTTTTTCTTAATGTTACTTTATTCATTTACCTATTGCGTTTGCTTCAAAAATTATTTCATAATTCTTAATTTGTCTATTTTCTTTATACAGGGTGATATAAGTCCAAATATTGTTGGGGTAGTATATTTATTTCGAATCTAGGAACACATCTATGAGTTTTTTTGGGATTTTTTTTTGGAAATTTTGAATTTTTCGAAAAAAAATATAATTTTTTTAAGTTTAAGTTACAAAACATAATATTTTGACAACATAGCAACCTAGGTAGTAGATTAAATTTGCAAGAAAACCCAGAAAAGATCCAGTGGTTCTCAAAATTTAAGGAAAAATATTTTTATTTTTTTATTATTTTCAAAGTAAAAAAACTCGGTTATTTTGGACTTATTTCAAAAATAGTAAAGAGAAAATATATTTCTTTTATTGAGTTCTACCAGCCCTGAAAATATTTGCACTTATTTAAGACTCACACTGTATAACCGATCACTTTCTTAATGATGTGTTTCTTCACTATCGATTCTTCAATATTATTTTTATTTCTTCTAACAACTGCTTCAGTAAAAGTATATTCATATGTAGCTAATAACAGATTTGAAGAAAATATATTCAGATTTAGAAACATTAGGTAACTCCATATAGGATATGGATAAAGCAAATAAGTGAGCTTTGAAGCTTTTACTTGTACAATAGAAAATATTCATAACAAAGTACTGTCATTAAAAATTATATGTTTTATAGCTAGATGGATAATGACAAATTAGTGTTAGGGAAATACTAATAATTAATTATTATTTAGTATTACTGTTTGGATAAATTAATTGTCAAAGCCATGATAATGAAGAGATAGAAATAAAATTTAAGCACAAATTAAATTTAATATTTAACGATCAAGGAAATGGTTTAAAGTTTATTTATATTTTGCATACATTATACCTTATTATAGTTGGTCTAAAGGTTAACTGAGTAAGTACTCTCCTTGTATAACTTGCAATATCATAAAGTGCATTCATTCCGCAAAATAACTTAAATCATATTTGTATTACTTCCTTTATCCATTTTATTGTTTGCTCGCTTAATACTAAAATACAAAAATATTAAATCATCTACCTATCGTGAGGGTCTATTTCAAACAAATAACCATAAAACTTCTTATAATACCAGAAAATTCCATTCCTCGTTGTGCTAATCGAATTTAAATCAGAACTTCTGTAAAAACTCCACAAGTTGCAGTTTTTTGCAGCCGTAGTCTGGCTCGCGATCGGCTAAAAAGACGAAATCCTCAACAACAAAGCGCAAAGATATTGACCTTGCTCCCGCGAGGGTTAACGATTTTTCCTGGAAAACAATCGATTCATATGGCTGTCCTTTTAATTCGTCATGGGTTAGAATGAGAAGGGGATATGACCTGGGTGGGCGAGGTGTAGAAATGAATGTCGAATTTGTTAATAGTGGAGCGGGTTTTACTAGAACACCACATGTATCTGCAGGCTATGCAGTTTGAATTTTGAGCCTATTTCTGGTTTTAAAAACAGTATTCGATCTTTTGTCCATTATACCCTCTATAACGTGAATATTTATATAATATAATGATTTATTGTTATTTACAATAAACTTTTTTTTGTTCCAGGTAAGTCTTCATTTATCGATCTTGCATAGAGAGCAGAAGCATGTAAGTAAACTAATAAGAATTTAATAATATATTTTAATGGCAATTAAACACAAGCACAGAAATGAGAAAATAACACAGAAATTGGCAAGCCAAATCTATAAGGCATTACAAACGAAATATCTATCTCAGCTGGGCGAAATTAGGATATCAAAAAACAAAATATAATATACTGTTTTGGAAACCCTCTCGAAGACCAGTCATACATCACAGTAGATCGATGAACTGACATTGGTATTGTACCGTATGATCGAATAAAAACGGCGTCAGCGATGGCTATGAAATGAAGATCGCTGTCATTATATATGTAAAATTAAATGGGGAATGTCATTGATGTTCATTTCCAAGCCAACTGGACGCCGTTTTTTTTTTTCGATCATACGGTATACCGGGTGTTGCATCGTCGTTGGGAACATAGGAAATCCCATGCAAAATTTGAACTGTCCAGATATTGGGTCCCCTATGGATTTCATAGCGAAGTCGTAAATAGACTTTTTAAAGGTCTACATTTGGTAAAGACACATGCCAAATTTGAACAATTTTGGACAAGTCGATTTTAGGTAATTTGAGAAAAACTGAATCGATTTTTATATTAAAACCAAACAGGTAACAATCAAACACCAGTCAAAAACCGACATTCTTTAAGTTGTCAGCGTCATTTTCAAACGTAACTTAATTTTAATAAAATTTTAATATTCAGTACTAGTAATAATTTATTGTTATACACATAAAGAAAAAGTGAACATGATAAAATACGCGGGAAATAGATTAGACAGTGTATCTGACATGTTTCGGTTAATTTTCCCTAAATATTAAAATTTTATTAAAATTACTTTTGACAATGACAAAATTATAGTTTGTAAACCTAAGGTATGTCAGTCTTTGACTGGTGTTTGATTGTCACCTGTTCGGTTTTAATATAAAAATCGATTCAGTTTTTCTCAAATTACCTAAAATCGACTTGTCCAAAATTGTTCAAATTTGGCATGTGTCTTTACCAAATGTAGACCTTTAAAAAGTCTATTTACGACTTCGCTATGAAATCCATAGGGGACCCAATATCTGGACAGTTCAAATTTTGCATGGGATTTCCTATGTTCCCAACGACGATGCAAGACCCGGTATACTAATAATACTGTTACCTAAATACAGATAACTAATTAGTTAAAAAACCTGAAGGTGACATTAAACGAATTAAAGAAATGATTCATTCATTGATTGATAGTAATTACCCACTAACTGTATTTTATTAAATAATAAATTAATATACCTAATCTAATCAAACTGTTTTAATTTTATTTTTTATTGATAAAATTTAAGGCACTTTTTAATATGCTACTTTTTTGTTTTGCCCTTTTTTGTTCTTTTTAATTCATATATATTCCTAGTTCATTTATTCAACTTAATGACGTTGCCATAAATGGTTATTAGTTTTTCAAATAATCCATTTTATTAGAGCTGTAGTACTTGTATTCAGATAGTATATAGAAGAACAGCTATGAAACTCGATTAGTTATATTTCAGTCATTTTAGATGTAAAACTATTATATGGGAAATGTCATCGTTATTTCTAAGCCATCTGTCGGTGTTTATTTCTGATCATACGCTATTTTCTCTACATAAAACCGTTATAAAACTATTAATCACATAGTAACAGAATTTGTCAGTAATTGAAAACAGATATTATCCAAAATTATTTGATATCATATCATATCAATAGAATTATTTTCTATCATACAAATTATTCTCGAAAAAAATACTTTCTTTATCTTTATTATCTAATATACTTGGGGTGTAGTCTAATTTGGTATTTGTTTTATTGTTGCGAAATAGTGTCAAATAATAAACAATTTTAGAAGATATGATTTATGTCTTTTCCAATAAATTTCCTTGTGAACTACCCGGACTTCCAGCCACTTTGTGTTGTGGTGCTTGACATATGGTGTGCAATACCTGACTTGAATGTTTCATCCCTTTTCATATGGTTTTATGTTCGTTAAGTCGTACATTTGGGGGATCTTTTGTTTCACCGATATACGCCCTTATGAGTTCACATTTGTTGGTAAGGACGTGGCAAGTCTTAGGTGATCTAGATGAATGTTGGCGTTTCTTTAACTTATTTTTTTATCCTTTTTTTCTGCCGATGTCATTGGTCAATTTTTGTTTTCATCCAACTTTTCTTTGGGACATAATAGGTTTTTGCGTTCGTACTGGAGAGTTTTCACTGAACAATTCTTCATAGAAAACATACATTGGTGTGCAATACTTGACTTGAATACAATAAAAACCAAATCAAACTGGAAAATTATTTTTTGACTTCACTTTAACTCTAATTAATTTGAGGACTGATAACACTGGACGATCGTTTTGCTAACCACGTGAGCATCATCAGCCGATGATTAAAGCTTTTAATCATCTACTAATAATATTAACATGGTTACCCAAACAAATAAATTGCTTTGATATATTTTGGTGTTTTATTATTTCAAAACCATACTATCCTGAAAATTACCAATAGATATAATTAACCTAATCCCTCGTTAGATAAGATGATTGAACATTCTCGTTGTTCGGCTGTTGAAGCGATTATCAGACGCAATTGAATGATCATCGATAAAGAAAAAACAGTGAACGACAACAAAGCACCTTTAATTATTTCCCACTCTCTCCGCTCGGTCTGGCCGACTCGCCCGCTCCACTATACTCGAAATTCCTGCCCGAAACGCGTATAACGAAACTCTTTATTCGCATTTTAACCGTGTATAGTCAACGACGCGCCGCGCCAGTCCCTGCCCGAACTGCACGATGTCGCTTTTGGCGCGCTCGCACAGCCAAACGCAAAAACCCCAATACAAAGACTACGTTACGTTCTTGGAGAGCTACAAGAATGGAAAGAGGGACGATCAGAACAGTGTCATGTCTTCGGACAGTGGAATAAACCTACCCTTATCGCATTCGTCCAGTAACTCGTCGATTCTCAGTGATAGTGTCCAGAAACCGGCTCCGATCAAACCGAAACAGACCGTCAAAACGGAGATGTTTATCGAAATCAAGTCTCCGCCGGTTATTGCAAACAGCACGAAAGTTTTCGAGGTGAGCAATATAAACAACCCTTCTGAAGCGACGATTTCTGTAAGCAGTACTGCAAAAATGTTCGAAAATAACTCAAGTTCCTTAAAGCCGAAAAACAGCTTCTCAAAGAAAACAAAGATCGAAAAAATAACGCAGAAGTTTGAGAATAATTCGCAAAGTGGTCAAGTCACTGCGAAACTTCCCCCAAAACGAGCACACAGTATCGGTCAGGTATCGAAGATGTTCGAAAACGAAAGTGTAGTTGCAGCAAACAAACCAAGAAATTTCAATACCGTTCCTAAACCGTTCCAGAACACTACGCTACCAAAAAACAATTTGGAACATAAAGAAAAACCGGCTTTATCACCAAGACCTCTAATAACATCTCCTAAACCAACGTTTGTTCCACAATTTCCAATTCCATCACCTGAACCTCCAAAATGTTATTCAGACAGTACAGATTCGGCGTTATCATCACTATCCATCTCACCTTCACCTCCACAGTCAATAAGCCCACCTCCAATTGCACCATCCATACCACCACCGCCTCCACCTCCGTTACCTCCAGTGAATTTTTCCTCCAAACCCATATCTGCCACAACTGTCTCTAAACCTGTTCCTATTCAAACCAACCATTTTACTGAAACGGCGTTACCAAGTCAAGAGAATGGGCATAACGGATTGGTTACTCCAAATGGAACGTTGGATAGAAACGATCCAAGAGTGAAGAAGGCAGTATATGGAGCTTTAAGGACCATGTACGGAGCTTACCATGATCAGGCCAACGACTACTTGGCAACGTTGCCGAAGAACAGAGTTAAAAGGAACAATGGACTGGACAGTATTATTAATAGTATAGCGTAAGTAGTTTTATTTTGTATTTATTTGGTTTTCTTTTTTTGGGGGTCTTACAAAGAGCGTAGGAGATATATTGAAACGTTTAGTACTAAACTTACAAACACGATTAAATTATTCATAAAATAATGCGGTAATAATTAGTATACCGGGTGTTTCTCAAAAGTGGCTCACCCCCTATAACTGTTTTATTTTCTCAGATAAAAAAACGAGAAATTGTATATATTAGTATATGACATTAATTCGGATTGATTGACGTATTCAATTGTTTTCGATCACTTCTTGTTTGACTGGAAATGACTACAAACTAAAACTTCTGATTTTTAAATGGCACCCTCGGTATTTTTTTACTTTATTCGATAGAAAATGACACTCTGAATAGAATGACATATCATATGTAAAATTTTGACATTTTTGCTTAAAAAATCTTATTTTAAATTTCAATCTAGAAAGTCATGGCTGTGTTAAAAACACTAATTTTTAATCAAGGAGCCTTGGAAATAAAAATTTGAACCTCTAATGTTTTTCTTGTTTTGTCCTGGCCGGTTAAAAGCTGCCCAAATCGTATTTTTAATCTTATCTCATTTTTTTCAAATTTCCAAACCAAACCAAACCAAACTATATCCGAAAATGTCAAAAATTGACATATTATGATATAGCATTCTATTCAGAGTGTCATTCTCTATGAAACAAAGTAAAGAAAATGCTGAGGGTGTCATTTAAAAATCAAAAGTTGTAGTCATTTCCGGCGAAACAGGAAGTCACCGAAAACAATTATTGAATACGGCAATCAATCCTAATTTATATCATATACCTACCCTTGATTATGGATATAAACAAGGTACTTACTAATGTAACAAATCTCGTATTTTTTATCTGGAAAAATAAGGAAGTTGTAGAGGTGAGCGACTTTTGAGAACTACCCGGTATATTTATTATTTGATTTTTTTTTATTTTCCTTTATGTACTATATGTACCAGTCATTTTTAAAAAATAAGTATTACTTTTATAGTACCGGTCGCGACTATCAGATGACATTTGTAAAATCGAGATGTAAAATATGTAGAAAATTTTTCATAAACAATTAACAGAAGTAAATAACTTCATCAATACAACATCGTGATACCAGGAATAAAACACTAATAAAACAACCATTGCTGATATTTAGTGATCTTAAAAATTTGTGAACATCATGAAAAACAATTTTTTACATAAATTATTCAGAAGCAAATATTTCAAATGATACTAAACGTATGTTGTTAAAATTTAAGTTTATAGGAACTAAATAGTAAAATTAGCCGATAATAAGCACCTATTAAACTATTAACGTATTTGGATACTTTTTATTGTTTTATTATTAACTTTTGTAAGTAAATGACTTACAATATATAGTGAAAAATATGAGTTAAAACATTGATTGGTCGTGATATTACCCTCCAATAATAACTTGCTTAAACAAATAAGTTTACTTATAGTTCAGTCATTGGGGATCAAAGAAGGGGCCTGCTTGGAAAAAAGTCCGAAAGTTTTGAAACTTTGCAGGTTTACAGGTTTTGGGGTCCCTAACTAAAATCCCTAAATTGCACATTTCCAGACTTGCCGCCATCTTGCCAAGATGGAGCCCAAAATCGGTATTTTGTAAATATCTCGAAAACTATGCGTTTTACGCGAAAATTTGAGGAAAGCAAAATTAAAGAGAATAAAATTTTCTATAAAATATGTTTTATGAAAATTTTCGATGAAGTCAACCATTTAGGCACAAAATCCCTGTAAATTTTACAATTTTGCGTAAAATATGATATATTATGTATAGTCGATTTTCCGAAATCAAATGTCGATTAGGGTTCACTAAAACTAGTTTTAGTTTAGTTTCTTCAATTTTGTCATGAAACAGTGGCGTATCATTAATTCGCTCATTAATTTATGAATAATTAATTGTCGTGGTGGACAGCATTCATTGCGAACTTACCACCAGATTCAGCATTGGTCTGGTTGTACAAAAGATGCCGAAGAATGGGGTTCGAAGAAAACGAAAACAGGCATTACTCCAGTCACAACGTTGAAAGATCCAGCTCCAATATCCCTGTTGGCATTTTTATCCTATAAATGCAAAACCAACAACTATGGTAAAGCCTGCGGATGCAGAAAAGCAGGATTAAAATGTTCAATGATTTGTGCATACTGCAATGGGAAATCCTGTGACAACGTCACTGAAGTGTCACTCGACGAATCCGACGAAGAGGAGTTGGACTTGCCTGTAGATATCCCTCTAGCGGCTGAAGATGAAGAGTTGGACGTATTGAGAGACCACCCTGATGAGCCCAGCACAGTAGACACGACCGACTTTGACATCAATGATCCAGATCCGTCGGTCTTGTGCAGATAAGTTAAAGTTTTTAATTTATCTAGTGGAGTAGGCCTCCGGGGAGACCACGTTAAAATAAACGCGCCATATACTTTACCTCTTGGGTGGTGTGGAAACAAGTACACATTTTCAATAATTAAAATTAATTATTTATAAATTAATGAGCGAATTAATGATACGCCACTGTTTTATGACAAAATTGAAGAAACTAAACTAAAACTAGTTTTAGTGAACCCTAATCGACATTTGATTTCGGAAAATCGACTATAGATAATTGTGCTGATTTGTGCCTAAACGGTTGACTTTAGCGAAAAATTTTTAAACCTTTTTATAGGAAATTTTATTCTCTTTAATTTTGCTCTCTTCAAATTTTCGTCAAAACGCATAGTTTTCGAGATATTTACAAAATACCGATTTTGGGCGCCATCTTGGCAAAGCGGCGCCGGCGGCAAGTCTGGAAATGTGCATTTTATGGATTTTAAGTTAGGGACCCCAAAACCTATAAACCAGCAAAGTTGCAAAACTTCCGGACTTTTTTCCAAGCAAAAATCCCCGTGACTGAACTATATGGTTTTGAAGAGAAGATTCAAAGCAATTGAAATTAATTTTCCTTTGATAAAAATACAAATAGTTAAATCGCAAAATGCTAAATTTAAACAGTTTTAAAATTCAACTGAAATTGTTTCATCCTCATTTATGAACCATGTTTTGCTGTTGTGGTACTGAACTCATCAAAAACCTCAACAAAATAGTATTTCAAGAAAAATCTAATTTCATTGGATAATTTTTCATTCTATAAAATGATATACTTAAATTATTCTATTGTAAAATATGAATTAATTTACCAAATAAAAATCAAAAATTATGCCATTGTTAAATCTATTAAAATGACCCGAATTGGTATTTCTACGCCTACTGTGACGCTGTTTTTTAACGTAAGAGTCTGTAATTTACTGTATGATAAAATAACTGCAAATATTTTTAGGGGTGGTATATTTCGACCCCAGAAACACGTCAATGTTTTTAAAAAAATTTGGAAATTTCTTAAATTTTTAGTTAAAAACATAATATCTTCATAATATGGCAACATAAGTTGTGAATTAAATTTACAAAGAAGAAAACCGAGAAAAGATCCAGCGGTTCTCAAAATTTAAGCGAATTTTTATTTTATTTTCAAAGTAAAATAATTCGGTTATTTTGGAGTTATTTGAAAAACGGCAAAGAGAAAATATGTTTCCTTTATCGATATCTGCCAGCCCTGGAACAAGAACCACCCTGTATATTGAGTAAAAATTATTTTGAAATGGTGTAGTTTAAAATTTGAGAAAAACTATATTTTTGGAAATATATTAATGTCTCTATCGTTCTATCCTTTTTAGTCTTTCTGGGTATCAATTTTTGACAAGTTTATGTCAATTTTTAGTAAATGACGTCTAGAGATTGACCTCGCCAAAATTATTATGGATTGTCATTCCCCAGCCGTCTTTGACGCCGGTTTTTTCGATCATATGGTGTTTAATAGTTGATCGTTTAACATTTAAATATGATCTAGAATAACTGATAATCAGCTGTCACTATCATTGAATTACACAGTATACAAATAATTAAGTTTTGCTGTAATAACAGTTTTTAAACATCAATAACTGTGTAAAGAAATAAATTGCTTGTCAAGGTTCAATATCACTCAATATCATTTCAAAAATAGAATTAGAGACAGAAAAGTCTCTAAACATCATGAAATACGGAAGTGCATATCTTTGACCAATAGAAGTTGTAAAATAGTGTGTCCCCGGATTCCCGGACTGTCTTTCCAAGAGGAAAAAAAAAACTTTTTTATTATTGACATTTTGAGAACAATACATTTTTCATTAAAAAAATTGCCTATTCTAAAATGGTTAATCCCGTGTATGCTTTTCCAAATTTCCATACCGTTTTAGAGAAAATTAATAAAAGCATGAAAATATGGTTGAATTTTTTCCTGTCAAATAAATCAAAAGGCAATAATGGTAAATATAATTTCAATTTCATTCTTTTGATATTATTATTAAATTAATTACATTATTTTTATATTCCGTAACATTGAACTAAATAGTTTTTTTTTAACATTTTTAAACAGCAAAAAATATTATGTTAATTAAAATTCTATCAAATAACAATCTATCGAAAAATGAAAATGAAATTATATTACCACAGAAACGCGTTTTGATTTCTAGGACTTAGGTAAAAATTAAATTATATATTGATGTTTTTTTTTATTTTATGTTTAACGATATGTAAATTTGGAAAAGTATAAACGGGATTAACCATTAACAGCAAGCATTTTTTTATGAAGAATGCATTCTTTTCAAAATGTAAATAATAAAAAATTTTCCCTTTTGTAAAGACAATCCGGGGACATACTGTATACTAGTAATTTCAATAGTAATTTCAAAAATTGATGTTCCATGGAAACTTTAAAATTATATATATTTTTTTTCTTTTTTATCCACAACTTTTATAAATAAAACCTACTAAGTATTGTACTAAGGCAAGCGATATTATAGTTCTGTACTTGAAAATTTTGTGAAAAACTATACACTCTATCACAAATACACAAATTATTAAAAATTTAATAAATAGTATTGCTTTACAAATAAAAAGTTTCAAATTAAATGCAAAGTAATTCTCCAATTTGATTAGACTACGTGTCGTGTTAGAAAATACTTAAAACTTACGTCATGGTACATTATGGTGCATATTAACTCTTAATTAAGGCCCATTTAAACGTAGAACTGCCTTTAATCATTTCACTAAATTTAAATGATTAAAATCTGACCATCCTGTATCTTTAGTTATGTTAACTTGAAACCATTTTTATTTTATTTTGAACTATTTCTAAACGATAAAGTGAGTCATTAAAAACCAAACCTGATTTTCTTATCTTAATATGACTAAAAAGCAACAAGTTATTTAGAAAAAAGTATGGGTAATTTAAAAATGTAGATTAGTAGAAACTGTAGATATTCTTATTTGCTCAGAATATATAATTTTTAAATATAATTGAAGGTAAAGTAGTTTCAATTTCTGAAAGTATCGTATGACCAAAAATCATCGGTGGTGCATCGTCATTAAAAACATAGAAAATCGCTGAAAATTTTGAACTATCCAGATATTGGCTACCCTGTTAATTTTACAGCGAATTTGTCAATATGTTTTTCAAAGGTTTGAACAATTTGAACATTTTTGGATAAGCTGATTTTGAGTAATTTGAGAAAATCTGCATCTATTTTTAAATTAAAACTGAACAAGTAACAAAACTAGGCAAATTTCAACATACCTTACCTATAATTTTATTATTATCAAATTTTAAGTGTCTTGGAAATGTATTTTTTAATTTAATACTGATTCGAATGAGGCAAAAACCTAAGTTTAGAAAATACAATTTGACATTGACAAAATTATAGAAAGACAAATTAAGGTACGTTAGCATTTTGCCAACCAAAATTATTTAAATTTGGCATTGTATATGCACCCCTGTATGGGTGTTTCAAAAACATGTGCCATCTCTCGTGGAGAGATTCCTTACGTAAAAATAGTACTTATTTTTCATATCAACATATATGTAGGTGCGGTTCTGCTTTGTTTCGTAGCTACAGGGTGTTAAAATCTTTATATTTTTTGATTCTAATTATTTGGTCATAGGATACTTTTTAACGTATTTTTTACTGTAAAATAAATAGAATAAGCAAACTGTAGATGTTTCTAAGACTAATTCTTGCATGTTTTCTTTGTAGATCTCAAGGTGGATTGGAGAAATTAACCGGTAGGGGTAATCCCAACACTGAAGCGGAGTAGATGGTTTTTGAAACATAGTAGAGTGTGTTTGAATAAAATACGTACATCGATCGATTTCGATATTGTATCGTTTTGGAAATGGTTATCTTGAAGGATCTGATTGTCCTGGTCTTTCGAGAATATTTAAAATCTTCCGAACGAATGATTTCTTCGAAAATGCTTTTCAAATGCTTTGTTAATAGCTCTTTATTTTTTATTATTTCTTTAACTTACATATATTATGTAGCGTCTAAGATCTTAGTATCAGCCTATTATAGTTTTGGGCTTTCCTATTATAAGACTGTATATTTTTGCTGTTATTTAACTTTTTTGTGTTTAAATAAAACATATATATTACAAAATTTGTATTTTTCTTTTTTACTAAGGATGTTTAAAGTATATCGATACACATACGTATAACAAAATTGACTATAGTTTAGTAAAAATTTACATAATATTCAGTAAACTTTGGTTTAGTTTTGATTACAAGGACATTAAATAAACAATTTTGTAGACAATATATTTATCAAAGTAATTATTTTTATTTTATATTTATTTTCAAAATAATAATCCAATTCCCTAATAATATTGTTTTTGACGTTATAGACAAAATCATTATTTGGATAAATAAAATCCTTATTTTTTGATAGTTCTCTACAAGCTCAGTAATTTGTTTTTACGCATTACCCTTTTTTTTTCGTATACTTTCATAGAAATATTTTAACAGTTGGGGGTTGGGATCTTTGGTGTTCATCACAGCAAAATAAAACACTAAATCGCTGCTATAACACACCAAAACACTTTTACATTTACACTGGACGCGCGTTTCACTAACCATGTTAGCATCATCAGCAGATGATTAAGACTAAGATGGTTCTTTTAGTCTTAATCATTTGCACTAGACACACTATACTCGCGTTTCGCTAACCATGTTAGCATCATCAGCAAATGATTAAGACTAAAAAACGATTTTAGTCTTAATCATCTGCTGATGAAGCTAACATGGTTAGCGAAACGCGCGTCCAGTGTAAAAGTAAAAGTGTTTTGGTGATTTAGTGGTTTATTTTGCCGAAATATTTTTCATTTCACCTCTGTTACTGAGTACTAAAAAATTGTACTTTGTACAGAGTACAATTTTTTTTATTTATGAAGATCCTTGCAGCTGGTACAAACCGGAGACACTTGTTCCTCAAACTAGACATGAAACAAAAAATATTAGGATCCCCGTAATTTCCATGACACAGGGTGATTTTGAAAATGTTACGCTTTTGGGACTTCTGAGCTCAATCGTTTTTAAACTTATCAAAAAATCAAAAGCAACAGTCTATAGAACTTTGTTTAGAATCTAATAACTTTTTTGCTTAATATTGACCGTGGTTTAGTTATTTTTTATTATTTGGTTGCCTCTATCTCTCTGGTTGTCTCAAAAGTAATAAAGCTGTTCAGTATTGCTAAATACCAATTGTTTAATTTAGTTTCACAAAATGTACCTAAGGTTCCTGAAAACCGCGAGGTCCTATCTATACAGGGTGACAATTTGCAAACGGACATTATTTTTAATACTGCCTCTACCGATGATAGTATGAAAATTTGGCGAAACACGTCATTTGTTGTCGTGTTACTTTCAACCCATTAACCCCCAGGGCACACACCCCTAAAATTTTAAATAGCAACCCCTATTTGTTTTACCATTTTTGTGTTTCTTATAGAATTCTACATAAACTGCATTATTTTTTTGAGAATTTTATAAGAAACACAGAAATGGTAAAAGAAATAGGGGTTGCCATTTAAAATTTTACGGGTAGGTGCCCTGGGGGTCAATGTAATGAATGTAACACGACAACAAATGCCTCAAAAATTGTCCCCCTTGATATGTAAATTGACGTATTTCGCCAAATTTTCATACTATCATCGGCAGAGGTAAAATTGTCACCCTGTATATTAATCATAAACGAGGCAATCTTCAATTGCTACCAAAATGAGACACTCCTTACAAATTAATTTGCTGCGACCAGAGTGAAATTGTAACAATATCGATATTATTTATATATGTATAGATACCCAAAATATTGATACATCCCTAATTTCTCATTGATAATGAAAACGCAGCGGTTTCGAAACCGCTATATGCCGGTGTAAGCCCTGCAGTGCGTTATGTGTGGTACCAAAAGAATGTTGATATGTTGCAATTTTATTTATGGAGCAGGGGCATAGTTTATACCGGTTTGGTGGTATGCTGTGTACTCGCCATTATGTATTGGACAAAGAAATGGACTCTATAGAGCTAAGAATAAGGAAAAGGTTCCTTTGTTAAGTATAGCTATACACAAATTAAACGGATGATAGTTCTTGTAGTTCAGTGTTAAATCACTAAAGCAATAAATATTCAAATCTGTTTTGCTGTGTTTTACAACAGTTGTATTTACAGAAGTAAATAAATAAACTTACTCAAATGTCTTATCAAAAATAAACATACCCCACCATGTAACTGTATAAGTCTCAACAAATAGTAGCATTGCATCTGAATAAACAATGCCAATTAAAAATAAAGAAAGGAAAACATAAACTGCATAAAAAATAAAAAAATAAACTAACAGGTGATTGTATTTCTGATACGAACTGAAGCTGATTAACAGTGTGATGAGACAGTCACTAGGAAATACTAACAGTGAATGTGATCTTTTAAAGAAATTTTTCGACATTTGCTATAAATTCTAAGCAAACACTAGTAACAGTAATATTTACTAAAAGTTGTCAGTGAAAGTATATTATTTCGTCCATGGCCCCCATCTCATGTTCTGTCTCTAAATTTCTCGTAATCTTTCTGTAATTTTTGTAGTCCATTCTTCTTGTTATGTGTCCTGCACCAAAACCATTATTTATATTATATACCGGGTGTATCTCAAAAGTGGCCCACCCCCTATAAGTTTTTTATTTTTTCAGATAAAAAAACGAGATTTGGTATATTAGTATTCAATTGTTTTTGGTCACTTCCTGTTCCACCGGAAATGACTCCAACTTTTGATTTTTAAATGGCACGCTTGGTATATTTCTACTTTATTCGATAGAAAATGACGCTCTGAATAGAATGACATATCATATGTCGACTGATGACATTTTCATATAATATATGGCTTAATTGAAAATGTAACATGCGGTTCATAACGAAAATTTGACTCGAAATACCAAGTGTGTGGTTCTAAATTATTTGTAAAAAATGCTTTTCCAAATATGCTAATGAGCCACCCTTGTTAAATTTTAAAAAATTGAGATACCATTAAAAATACAATTTGGGCATCTTTTAACCGGCTAGGACAAGACACGAAATATATTAGAAGATCAAATATATTTTTCCAAGGCTCCTTGATTAAAAATTACTGTTTTTGAATACAGCCAGGCACTCTAGATTAAAATTTAAAATACGATTTTTTAAGCGAAAATGTCAAAAGTTGACATATAATATTTCATTCTGTTCAGGGTGTCATTTTCTATCGAATAAAGTACAAATATACCGAGGATGCCATTTAAAAATCAAATTTTTTAGTAATTTCTAGTGAAACAGGAAGTGACCAAAATCAATTGACTACGTCAATTAGTCTTAATTTTTGTCATATACTAACATACCAAATTTCATTCTTTTATCTCAAAAAAAAAATAAAAAATTTATAGGGGTGAGCCACCGTCGAGACGCACCCGGTATTATTATATTTACAGTACCATAATAAACAAAGTACAATACGTAAAGTATAATATAAGTAATACAGTACAATTTAATCAAAGCCTCACAATCCAAAACCAATAATATTTTAAATACTAGAGCGCTTCCCTAAATACCGGAAATTGGTAAAATTGTTACCAGCCAATTCTGACTATAATAAAGTTCTATTTAAAAAAGTCTTTCACAACTGGCTGGAGAAGTTCTTTTAATATCAGTATAGGAACACTCAGTAACTTTTGCTCATAAATGACCAAAAATCTGTTTACATCTTTATCTGTCGATCATCATCAATGTCTTATTACAACAATATCATTATAATTTTATTTTTAGAATTACTTAAACAATAATTCAACTGTTCATATCATCATCATTCATATCACGTTGCAAAAGCAAGGATTATTACAAACTTGTAGTAAATCATTGCGGACATTTCTCAAAAATATGACTTTATTGTCTTTGCGACACTGAGAACCATGAAACACACGACATACGCCCAAGATCTTTAATTTAATAAGTTTATTTTTGTGGTCAATGAATAACCGAGAAAGTAAGCTTTATGAATGCTAATGTTCTACGAACATTTGCATTATGTCATTTTTATTTACGCTTTACGCGATGAATTATCAGGAGTATTAGTCATATTATTTGTTAGTTCGATTTAAACAAATGGAAATATGTTTTTCTAATTTATTTGTTTTTTGCAATAAAAAATAGTAAGTCGATATTAGTTGCTAATGAAACAGAAATCTTAAAAATTATACAGGGCGCTACAAATTCGAGATACGAGCATTGGTATCTCAGTAACCGTAATAGATACGAGAACATGGTTAAATTGGGGCAAAGTTGCCGCTTTGGGATGTTCACGAAGATGCCATCAAAAAAGTTTTAAAAATTTCAAGGATTGCTGAGATATTTGGAAAAAACGGATTATTTTGAAAATCAATTTTATTTTTTCCTATCGTTACTTTTTAGAAAATCAAAACATTATCATAGCCACTTTATTAGGACTATCTGATAGTATTTTCAGATTTTCAAATTAGCTGAAAATTTGTGAGATATATCAGAGGCCAACTTAATTTTTTTAAATACGGACCTGCATTTTTTATTTTAGGTTTTTAAAGAACTCGGTCTCCTGAGTACAATGATATGCAACACTTAATTTTTTTTTGTTTTGGACAATTGAACACAATTTATTTAAATTAATTTCAAATCCGGCTCTTTTTTTTTAATATTTAATATGTTCATCGTTACAATTTTGAGAGAGAGATTAGCTCTCAAACCTAACAATGACGTGGGGTACAACATTGAATACGGAAAATCAAATGCAATAAAATAATAATAATAAATAAATATAATATAATATAAACAATCAAATCATTCCCCCTGAAGATTAATTGGAAATGGTAGAGGGTAGAGCAGTATAATAGCCAGCGAGGTTCCTGGACCTGTCGCCAAGGTTCGGAGGGGGCATTACTTGACGTCATTTGTAAAAGTGAAATCAATGCATCTCAACATTTGCAATAAAGAGTACAAAATGCATTCAGAAGTATAAGAAGAAGATCTGTTCAAAGGGCTATAAATAAAAAAAAACATATTATTAGATCGTACACTGAGATTTCAAATTCACAATTAAAAATTAAAAAT